TGTTTATAATTCGTGTAGACAGCGTTGGGCCTGTAGACCTCATTCTGTTTCTGTTTTTGCTCAGAACCTGATGACAGTAAATGACCATTTAAAAAAAAAGTTTCACCTGTGGTTTCTGCTTGATGAGTGTCGAATTCCGTATTGATCAATGGCATGATTCAGATTTGAAGGGTCTCACTAAAGCCTCAGGTTGAAATGGTTGATTTGGGGCGCCTGGGTGGCTCAGTCGTTAGGTGTCTGCCTTCAGCTCAGGTCATGATCCCAGGGTCCTGGGATCGAGCCCCGCGTCGGGCTCCCTGCTCAGCGGGAAGCCTGCTTCTCCCTCTCCCACTCCCCCTGCTTGTGTTCTTTCTCTTGCTGTCTCTGTCAAATAAATAAATAAAATCTTTAAAAAAAATGAAATGGTTGATTTATCAACTTTTCCCAGTGCCTCTGTCATTCCTGGCTTTACATATTTTACCTGTTTATTTTTAGGTTCATATGTATCTACGTTGGTTCTATATTTTCATTTTATTGTTGCTTTTACCAGTATTTCTATTTTGTTGGAAAGTAAGATTGATAATTCCAGCTTTCTTTTGGTTCATGCTTGTTTTTTATGTTTTCCACCCTTTTATTTCCAACCTATTGTTGTCTCTTGCAGACCATATAATGTTGAATCTTTTCTTTTAAACCCAGTTTGACACGATCTTTTAATTGGTGAGTTTAACCCATTTGCATTTATTGTGAAAGTGTTTGGTGTATAATTATCTTTTTTCTAAAGAATTTAATTAATTAATTAATTTATTTATTTATCTGACAGACACAGAGAGAGAGAGAGACCACAAGCAGGGGGAGCAGCAGACTCCCCCTGAGCAGGGAGCCCAATGCAGGACTCGATTCCAGGACCCTGGGATCATGACCTGAGCCGAAGGCAGATGCCCAACTGTCTGAACCACCCAGGCGCCCCTGTATAAACTACTTTAGTTGGAAGCCTGTCATTGGGACTAACTGTACTTGCTGGTAAAGTTAGCTTATGTTGTCACCTCATTTCATATTTTCTATTCACTGCACGTTCTTTGCATTTATTTTTTTTTCTCTTTTCCTATTTCTTCTGGGCATTTCTTTCTGCTGGTTTATGTAGTATGTTCTGTTCGGGTTCTCCCTGCGGCCACCCTGGATCCCCTTCCTGTTCACTTACATGGATTGACTTCTTCTGCTTTTTTTTTTTTTAAGATTTTATTTATTTATTTGAGAGAGAGAGAGTGAGAGAGAGAGAGCCCAAGAGGGGGTAGGGTCAGAGGGAGAAGCAGACTCTCTGCTGAGCAGGGAGCCCGATGTAGGCTCAATCCTGGGACTTTGGGATCATGACCTGAGCCGAAGGCCGTCGCTTAACCGACTGAGCCACCCGGGCGCCCATGGATTGACTTCTTAACCTTTATCTTCGTCGGTGTTCTCCTTCTGATGAGACAGACGTCTTAGCGTGTTCTCATTGCCTTTCATCTCCACCCGCCCCATCTTGTTGTGCTGGTATTATCTACAGTTTTAGTTCTAGATTGTTATGCAGATTGCACATATATTATAGGTTGTATGGTTATTTTCTTTAGTCACTGTTTTTTGGATGAGAGTAAACTCGCTTGTTATTTCCATCTTTTTTCTCATGTAATGCCTCCTGTGTTTGGGTCTCCTTTATTTGAACACTGCCTCCAAGAGTGGTTCCAAAGTCGATTCTTGATGGAGTGTCTTAAGACTTCATGTGCCTGAGAAGATCTTTATTACATCCTCACACTGAAACGATAATTTAACATTTCAAGTACAAGTTATTTTCTTTCAATATTTAAGGGTACTATTCCATTGTCTTCTTGAATTCAGAGTTGTCTCTGCGAAATCTGATGTCATGTGAGATCTGGGATTTCTCTCTTGCCCCTGGAGTGTGCGGCTGCGGGCTTGCCTTCCCCCTCTCCCTCTCCTGGCGGACTGTCTGCAGCCCCTTTACTGAGAGTCTCCCGGGGCTCTGCCTCTAAGGCTCTCGCCGTCCTGTCTCCCTTTCTCGGGCTTCCCTGGGTAAGTTCCTCCTCTATTGTCCATGTCTCTGAGAGCTTCTTTCCTTCTCCTGCTGCTCATTCCATCTGTTATTTCTTGCATCAATAATTATGGTTTTATTCCTGACCTTCCCAAGTAGATGTTTTGATGACTGTCCTCTGTGGGTGTCCGTTACTCTGTCCTTGACTCTGGTGTTGTTTGGCCCTGTCCCCAGAGGTGGACTTGGCCCAGTTGGCTCGTATCATCTCCTAATGATACGAGTTATCAGGCCATGAGTCTCTAGGCAGTCAGGTCTGGTCCACGGTTGTGCAGCAGGCCAACCTGCAGTGGGGGGGGGGGGTGAGCCCCGGGGTCAGGCTGAGACCCCACCCCTCAAGATGCTCCTCCTACCATGCTAACCCCCTCCCTGTTGGCTGCCCTCCCTGACTAGTTCCTGTGTTGGAAACTTAGCTTTCAGGGGAGGGTCAGTGGCCATCCTCTGGCTTTGGAGGCCAGTGTGGGAAGGAGTCGATGACCTGTGGTGCATGTTTCCACTGTTCCCCACTGCACTCAGCCACCCTGTTTCTCCAAGTCTCAAAGCTCCCTGCCCCCCTCTGTGGCCTGGAGATGGAGGCTGTTCCTTCAAGTTTTGCTTCTCACGGTCAGGGTCCTTGCTTCCACCTTCTGTGGTCTCAGCCCACACCTGCACGGCTGACAGAGCATTTGCTCTGTGGAGGTCTATTCTGAGGGTTTACCTGTGGTGTTCAGTCCTCATGACACCCTACCAGGTAGGGCAGCCATTGTCCCCATTTTACAGGTGAAGAATTTGAAGCCTGAGAAGCTCAGGCACAGAGGAAGATAGTGGGGAGCCAGGACTCAGACAATGCTCAGCCTATTTGTCATGAGAGGAATGAACCAGGCATATTTAAGTATCTGTCTGTCTGTCTATCTATCTTCATCTAACATGACCAGCACACGGCGATGCTCGTTAAGGTTCGGGAGAGGTGGGGGACATGGAAGGGGAACCCAGCCCTGCCCCCCACATTGTCACAGTCTGGAGTGTAGAGAGAGAAGCAAATGGTCCTGGGACAGTCATGAGCATGGAGGATGGAGGGGGATCATGGGGCTGAGACTCGGGCACAGCCTCCGGTCGCCGGGGAAGGGTCAGACCGAGACTGCCTCAGGTGACAGGAGCCTCTGGAGGCAGGCTAGAGGTGATGTCTTTCATCTACAGGAAGTTGTTTCGGAAGGGTGGGGAGTGCGGGGGAGGGCTGAGGCCCCCCGGGAGCCGACGGTCGGGGAGGGGGGGCAGTGGGAGGTGAGTCCGGCCTGGCCTGGAAACCACAGAGCCCCGTTCCTGAAGAGAGTGTAGACCCCACACCCCTCATTTATAGAGAGGAAATTGAGGCCCAGAGGCAGGACTTGTCCAAGGCCATGCTGATGAGTGGTCAGGAGTGGGGGCCAGAAGCCAGAAGGCAAGTGATAGACACCTGCTGTATATTCAGGTCTGCAGGGCAGCCTGCATTTCTTCTGGGGGTCCCTGGGAGGTGGGGACACCAGTACTTGGTGACTCTGTTTGTCTTCCTGACTGCCATGTGGGTCCCAGGGGCAGGTCCCTGGTGCCCTCCACAGGAACCACTGAGACCATGTTCCAAGTCGCTTGCCCCAAGCCTGAGGTGTCCTGGTGACGCCCCGCCCTGGCAAACACACATCCCACCAGCCGGGGAGAACCAGTGTCAAACCCCTGTCTGTTCGTCCATTCTGGACATGAAAATGTACCACGGGCCCTCCTGTGCTTTATAAACGTGGGGTCACACACACTCTCCATACCCAGCGCCATTTCAATGCTTGCTGTATGGATGCACCATAGTGGAGACAGCAATTCTCCTTTTTTGGACATTTAGATCATTTCTGAGTTGTATCAAAAGCAAGCAATGGATATCACTGTAATTTGGTCTCTGTGCCCAAAGATCATTTCCCAAAGGTGCAATTCTAGAAGTGGGATTTCCAAGTAAAAAGAACGTCATACCTTAACACTTTGATCTTTGCAAAACCAGTGAGTGGGTGAAGGGTTATCTCATTTCAACTGATATCTCATTGATAACTAGCAATTTGAATGGTTTCCTGCTTTTCCTGTTTATCACTCATTTTTTGCTATTTGCACATTTTTACCCAAGTTTTTGTTTACTTTCTATTGATTCAGATCTTTATAAATTAAGCATATTAACCCTTTTTCTGTAATTTATTCCCCTCCTCCCCCATTTGTGGATCTTGTCATGTGTTTTTCTTTTCTTTTCTTTTTAGATTTTATTTATTTATTTGTCAGAGAGAGAGAGAGGGAGAGAGCAGCAGCAGGGGGAGGGGCAGGTGGAGGGAGAAGCAGGCTCCCCGCCGAGCAGGGAGCCCGATGTGGGGCTCGATCCCGGGACCCTGGGACCACGACCCGAGCCGAAGGCAGACGTTTAACTGACTGAGCCGCCCAGGCGTCCCGGTAGTGTTTTTCTTAAAGATTTATTTTATTTGTTTGAGAGAGAGAGAGCCTGTGGGGAGGAGGAGCCAGTGAGTGGGAGGAGAGGGGACTGCCTGCTGAGCGGGGAGCCTGAGGTGGGGCTTGGTCCCACGCCCCCATGCCCCAGAGACCATGACCTGAGCCCACATCAACAGTGGGTCACTCAACCACCTGAGGCACCCAGGTGTCCCTATTTACTTATTCATTTGAGAGAGAGAGTGTTATGTGTGCATGCTAGTGTGCGCACCAGGGCGGGGGGGGGGGGGGGGGGGGGGGGGAGGTGGGTGCGAACTCTGGTTGATTTGCCCCTTCTGCAGCCCACCCAGGGGCCTGGAGTGCTGAGGTGCCCCCTTGCTCCTCCCCCTCCTCGGTGGTCCTACACGTAATCACACCAGCTGCAGAAGTCCTGGAAGATATTTGGGGAGGGGGGTCAGTCAAGCCCTCTCCCTCCTTGGCTCTGAGCTGGCTGAGAAATAGATGCTGGAGTCGGAAAGGGGAGAAGAGAAGCACTTTATTTCTGGCAAGCCTGGGTTAGGGACTGGGCTTCCCCCCCTCCCTCTTGTCCCTCCACCAGGCCCTGGGTCCCAGTGGCAGGTCCCTGGTGCCCTCCATGAGTCCATCCAGAGAGAAGCCCCTCCTGCTGTGTGAGGGGAAGGGCAGCAAGCATCCGGACACAGAAACTTCCTCCCTGGTGGGCCCAGGGAGGGCAGCCTGGAAGGCAGGAGGTGGGCAAGGAAGGCTTCCTGGAGGAGGTGCCGGGACACCAGGAGCCTGATGACCGCAGGGAGCCGCCTGTGTGACCTCACTGGGTCAGGCGGTCCTCTTTGAGCTGCGCGTGGGCAGAGGGAGGCCTGGGGGGGCCCTGCCGGGCTCACTGGTACTCGTTGGGGGTGGACATCCTGTTTGGGCCTTTATAGGACATGTCCTCGTACACTATACATGCTGAGCTCTTATCCTCCACGCAGCACAGTTTCTTGACCTGAAAGATAAAGCCTGTCCTCTTTGTACAGGGCCCAGCTCGTTCTGGGGCACCCTCTTTCTTCAATGCATACCCCCTTAGGAAGCTTTTTGATTCCACACTTGAAATGCGGCTGGGCCTCAGGGCCCGCATGAAGTCAGTTCACAAGCGGCCTTGGGCAGCCCCGAGGTTTCCCAAGCTGCCCCAGGCTGCGGGTGGGTGGGGGGGTAGGATGGGCATGGGAACAGAGCCTGGGGGGCAGCGGCAGGGAGGTGAAGTATGAAAGGGACCTTGCCCTAGGGACCCGGGCGGGGGTGGGCTGTCTCAAGCGGGTGTGGAGCTGGGCAAAGGCAAGTGAGTGACCGGGGCAGAGCTGACCACTTCCTGGCACCTGTCTCTGTCACCCCCCCCACGCATGTTCACACCTGCTCACACCAACCGCACACCTACGACTCACACGTACATGTGCACACGACGCGCACACAGGCTCACACACAGGCCTCCCCCGCTCTCTGAACGTCTCCCTGGACCCTCTGCTCGCCCCTCAATGTCTGTCATCCCCCTGGGCTCATGCCCGTCCCTGCTCATGGCTCCAGTTCCTGGGTTTCCCTCCCACCTTGGACCCTGCCATCCGAACCCTCACAACTCCCAGGGGCCCTGATGAGGGGATGGGTGGGTCCTGGGGTTTCTCTGGGGCTTAACCCTCTCCTTCCCTCCCTGCTTTCTTAGAGGAGCTGGCTTATAGGGACACAGGTGGGATCTGGGGCTCCACACTGACCTGTTTCTTCCTCAGCACACACACTGCCCCTATCCCCAGCCCAAGGAAGAAGCAGCTCATCGCCAGGACCACAGGGAAGGCAGAGATCAGCTGAGCCTTCTGGCACGTGTCTGCTTCCTGGGACACTTTGTCTGTGAAGAGGAGTGGAGAGGCACGTGGCAGGTGGTGGATTCCATGAGAGCCTTCGGGGTTCATGGAGGGGCTCTGGAGTGGGGGAATGGGCAATCCGGGGGGCTTCCTGGAGGCAGTGGGCTCAAGCTGGAATGAACAACTCAAGCAAGTGTAGAGGACACTTTGGGGCAGACAAGGGCAGGTGGAGCTGCCTGCCCAGCAGGTAGGTGGAGCGGGTCCCAGGGTAGGCACGTTCCCTACCTGTCACCACCACCAAGGTGTCAGGGCCCCAGACCATGTCATCCATGACCGCCTGGCAGGCATAAGCTCCAGTGTCAGACATCTGCAGGTGGCTCAGGGTGATGGTCAGGTTGTGCTGCAGCCCGGAGAAGGCAACGCGACCTCGGAAGCGCTCATCTACAGTGGGCGGCTTCTTGTCTTCATAGTAAATCACACCGGTGGGCTTCGGCCACCTTTGCCCCAGGAAGACCCCGGACAGGGGCCCGCTCGTGGAGCAGGTGATGCTGATGGAGCCCCCCTCGGGGACAATCGTGTAGGGGGGGAACTGCCGCACCTCTGCAGGAAGGACCCCTGCTGTGACCACAGCCTGGCCAGAGGGGCAGGGACCCTCCTCTCTGCAGGGGATGGCGGAGGGACAGAGGGGCCCTGGGACAGCCCCGTCTGGCCATGTCACCACCGTGAGGCATCTGACTGGATGCTGCTCCTGGGCACCCGCACCCCAGGGGCCGTACGCGAACGCTGATGGGGCCATGCGGGGGGCCAGCGGCCTGTGACCCTTCCCACCCTGGGGCCCCGGGGGAGTTCAGGCTGCAGCTTCTTCCTCCCAAAGCAGCTTGTTCTTCGCTGGGCAGCTCTGACCACTTCTCCCCACCCTACACCTTCTCCCTCTCTTAACAGACTGTGCCCAAGACAGCCGGAGGGGCTGTGCTGTCTCCTTCTCTCTTTCCATTGCTGGCTGCCTCAGGGTCCTCACCATTTCCAGGCACCTAGAACTGGTGGCTCTGTGCGGTGGGCACATCTATGCTTGTCTGAGGGACACCCAGAAATGTCCCTGTCTGCCTACCCGGGGCCCAGCTGGACCAGCTGCCTGGTGCAAACATGAACCTTCTTTATTATTATTTTATTTTGTATTTTATTTTATTTGTCAGAGAGAGGGAGCACAAGCAGGGGGAGCGGCAGGCAGAGGGAGAAGCAGGCCCCCCACTGAGCAGGGAGCCCGATGCGGGGCTTGATCCCAGGACCCTGGGACTGTGACCTGAGCCGAAGGCAGATGCTTAACTCACTGAGCCACCCCAGTGTCCCCATGAACCTTCCTTAATGTAATCCAAACATCAGCTTCTCAGCAAACTAAATTCTGGAGCTTCTTTTTTTTCTTCTTCTGCTGAGTCTCCCCACCTCACTGCACTGATATTTCCATCTTATTGCAGAACTTTGCACATGTATCTGCTTTTTTTTTTAAAGATTCTATTTATTTATTTGAGAGAGAGAGAATGAGAGATAGAGAGCACGAGAGGGAAGAGGGTCAGAGAGAGAAGCAGACTCCCTGCCGAGCAGGGAGCCCGATGTGGGACTTGATCCCGGGACTCCAGGATCATGACCTGAGCCGAAGGCAGTCGCTTAACCAACTGAGCCACCCGGGCGCCCTGTATCTGTTTTAAAAAGCAAACTAAAGGACAACATTCTCGCATAACCAAGGGAACCTCGCTAATTATTGAAAAGAGGATCTCCAGACATTTAAGTAAAGAAAAAGACCAGAGCCATGGTGATTCTGCACCCAGACGTCACTGACGGGCGGGGGGGGGGGGTTGCTTTGTGGGGAGGTCACACTCAGCATCCCCAGACCACCCCCTTCCCAGGAAGGAGCATCCCCAGGTGGGGGCACAGAGCCCACTTTGGGGGAGCACAGTGGGGACATGGGGAGGGCTTACCTTGGGTGGCCAGAGCCCTGAGCAGGATACAGGCGAGTATGAGGTGCACAGGGAGCCATGGGAGCTCTGGGGCCATGCTCACCACCACCCTGCCCACCACAGACGCAGCGACAAGGGAAAAGCAGGGCCCCCTCTCACGGCTGGCTGAAACTCTTCCTGTCTGCAGCACTTACTTGCGTGCCACCAGTTCGCAGGCACCGCCCCCAAACCCCCAGGCAACGATGCAAGGGCGGGAGGCGGTGACTGGTGGTCCAGGCACTCAGGCACTCCAGGAGGGCTTCCTGGAGGCGGTGCCACGGGCAAGGGTCGGTGCTGAGGGCCAGGCTGGGAGGGGCGGTCCTCACCCCCTCCACACTGTCCTGCTGAGTGCCCAATGGGTGACCAGTTGTCCCGGTCCCCCACTCCTGCTGTGTCTCCACAGGCCCGAGGTGGGGGGCAGGACCAGGAGAAAGCCAGGGGAGTCCTGGGTGGGGTGGGTTCAGGCTCCAGATGCCCTGGGTCCTCTGGGTCATTTTTCTGCTGAACCTGATTTATGCCCAGAAATCTGGCCTACAGTTCAGGGACCCCGGCATTATGGGGGCGGGGGCCTGGAGGGCGGGGAGGGCCCCTGGAGGCAGGGGCGGGGCCGCAGGGAGCAGGGGCGGAGCCTGGAGGGAGGGCGTTGAAAGGCCCCAGGACTCAATCTCCTTAGAGAAACCCTCGAAAATACAAGCAGCAAGGAGGAAATGAACACAGTCAGAGACCCGGGCCCGGGACTTCCCTGTAGGCCTAGGCCGAAGTCAAGGCACCATGTAGGGCCTCCAGTCTGGCGCTTTGCGCGGTGAGGGAGGACCGCCCCTCCCCATCGGCATCGTTCGACGCCTTCTGCCTTTTTAGTGCTTTAAGACAGGAAGCAGCTTTTTTTGGTTTTTATGTTTTTCCCCACTTAAAAAATGTGTATTTCTCAGGTCATCTGATGATTTCTTGGTTGATTTATTTTATTCTTCGTTAGGATTCGGGTTATGGGTTTTCAGAGCACTGAACGTGTAGTTTATTTATTATTTGTTTTTTAAGTAGGCTGCACGTCCAGCGTGGAGCCCAACGTGGGACTTGAACTCATGACCCTGAGATGAAGATCTGAGCTGAGATCAGGAGTCCAACGCTCAACCGACTGAGCCCCGCATGCATCCCCTGAACGTGTACTTTAGGAAAAGCCTGTGTCCCTCGTAAGAATCCATTCCATGGAGTTACACAGTTGTGGTTATGAAGACATCTGACAAAGCAGGTTTGGGACGGGAAGGGCCGGCAGGCGGGCAGGTGGGGGAGGGGAGCCCTGGGGAGGTCGGGGGTGGCGGGGGGGGGGGGGGGGGGGGAGGAGAAGCGGCTGCCAGCCTGAGTCCCGTCCTCCCCCCTGCCCCCCCGCCCCCCGGGGTGGGCGGAGAGCTCGCTCCTCGGGCTGAAGGGCTGAGCAGGTCTCCGGTGCCAGCAGGCAGGGACAGGGGCCTGCTTCTGTCTGCCACCGCGGCGTGGTTCCTGGGCATCTGTCAACCAGATGGAGGTGGGACACACCGGGCTCCACTCCTGGGGGGTGAGTACGGGTGCTGGTGGCCTCAGAGTGGGGCAGGACTCCTGGAGTCGGTTCTGGGTTTCAGGCCTGTTTATCACTCTCCTCCTAGGCCCTCCATCTCCCAGCTCAGAGGCATCTCGTCTGAGGAGGGAGGGAGGGATGACAGCCGCGCTAGAATCTGTGTGCGCTCAGGCCGCGTGTGCTCACACTCACGCAGACACACCCACCGGGCCACACGTCCTAGGTGTCCTGGAAGGAGCAGGAAGCCCAGCCTCTCTGTGCTGTGCCAGGGTGTCCTGGGACAAATGAGTGCTCTGGGGACCCAGTGGGCCTGACTGGGAGGGAGGCACCTGCCACAGCCAGCTGGAGTCCCCCGAGGGAGGGGCGCGTGCTCTCTGGGCCTGGGGTGACCCCCACCCCCACCAGCCCACCGACTAGGGGCAGGGCCTCATACCTGGGGCCCTGAGCACTTCCGGCAGGGGGAGGGCAGGGGAACTCTGCCTCTGGTGCAGGATAACACAATGACCACCAGGAAAATGAGGCCGGCAATGATGCTGACGACCACAGGGGCCACCCTGAACTGGTCTCTGGCCTTGGGTGGGCATGGTGTCTCTGGGCCTGTGGGGAGGGGGGGAGGGCGGACATCATTTGTTCACTCACGAGGAATCACTGCCTGCCTTGAGCGCACCCTTGAGGGAGACATCACCCCCAAGGGCAGGGGGCAGGGGGCAGTGTGCAGGAAGGACAGGGGTGTTGGCACGGAGGATGGGGACAGCCTGGGGGGACCTGAGGGGGGCTTCCTGGGGGTACCTGGGTGTCGGGTAAAAGCACCTACTGCAGGGATGTGTGAAGAGCGGGCGTCCACCTTCAGGTCTTGGGACTCTGCCCCTGATGCAGGTGAGACCAGGTGTCAGATGAGACCAGGGTACCAGGAGTCCACAGAGGGCTCGCTGGGTCCCTTCCCCGGGCCTGGCCAGGCTGGGGGCACCATTCTCAGCCACCCCACAGCTCAGGAACTGGGTGGGGGGTGTGGTGCCTGTGGGTTTGAGCAGTGTCCTGGAGAGGGTGCGGGGACAGGGAGCACTACTCCAAATGGAGGGGAAGTGAGGAACTACTCACCTGAGGGGTCGGCAGGCGGTAGGGGGATGGGTGTGGACTGGTCGGAGGGGAGGCCCTGGTCTGGGGGAACCACTGGGCTCTTCAGGTGGACAATGTCCAGGGCAAGCCTGGGGCAGCAGGGCCAGCTCGGGGCCAGCTTGGGGCTGGCTGGAGAAACCGAGGGATCATGGGGCTTCTGAGTGAGGGCAGGAAGGCAGGACCCTCAGGGGCAGACCAAGCTCTGCAGGGGCCTCAGGGAGCACTGGGATTGCGGGAGGAATCCCACCCCAGAGGTAGTGAGTGGGAGGAGGTTTGGGGTGGAACGGGAGAGAGGTGCATGGGCCTAGCCTCCTCGCTGGACAGGGCAGCCCCCCAGCCTGAGCCCCCTTCTGGTACAAGTCCTTGGAGGAGTGGAGGCCTGTCTTGTTTCACTCTGCCTTGTGGGAACCCAGGCCTGCCCTCTCTGGGCCCCATCCAGGGGCCCTGAGCATTTCTGCACTTCTGGGGGGGGAAGAGAACTGCTCCCCCCACCGCCCCTCCCAAATAGGAAAGCACCCGGGGTGGGGTGGGGGATGAAGATGCCACCCCTCACCTGAAACGTTCAGTGTGGTGACTCTGATATTTCTCTGCAGACCTTGCAGATACCACCTGTAGCACCCTGCCTGGGTGTGGCTCACATCATCGATCACCAGCTGTGCCATGCTTCCCTGAACCTGGAGCCGCCACCCTCCCTGGCAGAAGCATCCTGGGGGCCGCATGCTGAAGACAGGCTCGAAGCTCTTCCCATGGGAGCTCAGGTAGATGGCCACGCTGAGGAAGGGGTTGGAGATGTTGCAGGCCATCACAGCACGCTCCCCTCTGGACACAGAAACCACTCCTTCGGTGCAGATGGGGTTGTCCCATTCTGTGTGCAGGGGACAGGTCACACACAGGTCATGGCTGGGCCTCAGGACGTTCACTGACCACCCTCCCTGGGGCAAAGGGAGGGACGGTGACAAGGCAAGGTCCCCAGGGGCACACGGCCCCGGCTCGGGATGGAGAACACAGTGGGGGACACACACATCGATCAGACAAATCAGCACCTGTGCCTCAAGGGGGAAAACACCACAGAAATAAAAGCGGGGAGGTTGTGTGTGCGCATGCATGGACGCCCCCTGTGCGGCTGGTGTGGCCTGTCACTGTGCCTGGGCACTTCCCCCAGAGCCCCTTCCTTGCAGGTGGATTCTGGGGCAGAAGGAGGCACGTGCATGCTCTGCCCACTCACGTGAGTGTTGCTGAGTCTCGGCCAGGCCTGCAGCCGCCTCACCGTCCTCGGGGTTCTGGGCCAGGTGTGCACATCTGGCTCCGCAGGGAAGGTCCCCGGCTCCTGCAGGACACCGACACCGCCAAGGTCAGAGGCAACGAGCACGGACCCCCGCCCCGCCTGGCGGCTGTGGAACCAGCCCCACCATCTTGGGAGGCTGAGTCCTGGAGCAAATTCACCCGTTGCCAGCCTCGCTGCATGATCTGGGCGAACTCTGACGGACGGGGACCCTGGAGCGCGGCACACGGCAGCCGGCGCCCCCCGCGATGTGAGCTGGCCGGCCCAGCCATCCTCCTGTCCTGCTGCAGCAGTGTCCACCGGGCACTGGACACAGGTGGACAGGTGCCAGACAGCGGCACGAGCTCTGGGCACACTGTGTGCTGGGTGAGCCCACTGTTTACCACATTTCACCAAGTCCACACTGTGTGGCAGGTGCCATGTGTGACCATGTGCCAGGGGCCTTGGATGCCCATGGGAGAGAGGGCGTGTTGAGGTGGAAGTTCTGCAAGGCAGGCACGGGCCTAGCAAACCCGGAGTGTTGGGGCACAGTGGGCTCCTCCCAGGCCGAAGTCACAACCTGTACCTTGTGAGCGCAGCCAGCCAGGGCGGCTCAGCCAGCGGGCACGGGTCGGCGGGCAGCAGAGTGGAGAGAGAGCTCGATTCAGGGAGGCTGTGGGAGCCAGCAGGAAACTCCCCGTGTTCCAGAACGGGGCTACAGCGGGGCCGGTCAAGGCCCCAAGGACGGAAGACCTCCACATGCCTGTCCATGGCAGGAACTTGACCCGAGTCCCCCCACTGTCCCCCTCAGCCACTGGAGTGTTTGTTCTGAGGAGGGGTTTTAAAATGCCTTCTTGGGGCGCCTGGGTGGCTCAGTCGTTAGGCGTCTGCCTTCGGCTCTGGTCATGATCCCGGGGTCCTGGGATCGAGCCCCACATCGGGCTCCTGGCTCGGCGCGGAGCCCGCTTCTCCCTCTCCCTCTGCCTCTCCCCCCTGCTCATGCTCTCTCTCTCTCTCTCTCTCTCTCTGTATCTCTGTGTCTGAAATGAATAAATAAAAATCTTAAAAAAATAAAAATAAAGTAAAATAAAATGGCTTCTCTGCCGAGGTGGTCTGTGTAGACAATGGAATACTATGCAGCCATCAGAGAGAATGAAATCTTGCCATTTGCAATGATGTGGATGGAACCGGAAGGCATTATGCTGAGTGAAGTAAGTCAGTCAGAGAAAGACAATCATATGATCTCACTCATATGTGAAATTTAAGAATCAAAACAGGAACATAGGGGAAGAGAGGAAAAAATAAAACACGATGAAACCAGAGAGGGAGACACACCATAAGAGACTCTCAAGCACAGGAGGCAGACTGAGGGTGGCTGGCGGGGAGCGGAGGGGGCATAGGGTCACTGGCTGAGGAGGGCACGTGATGTGATGAGCACCGGGTGTGATATGAGACTGATGAATCCCGGACCTCTACCTCTGAAACCAATAATACAGTATATATTAACTAATTGAATTTAAATAAAAAAAATAAAATGCCTTCTCTGCATCTTTACAAAATTGTCAAAGTGCTACATAAACACACACCTGTCATAAAAATTCAAACAACTCTAAAGCAACCCCACTCCATCTATAGAGGGGCCGCTGGGTGGGGGACCCCAGGCCGGGACAGAGCCCTCCACCCTGGTTGCAGGAGCTGTCATCACGCCCACGTGGGAGGCTGACTCGGGGCTGTCAGAGCCCGGCAGAGGGCTGGAACACCGGAGGGCCGGGCAGGACTTGCCCTCATCTGTCCAATTCCCCGGGGGCAGGGCTCCAGGACGAGGGGCCTCTGCGGCTCACGGGTTTCCTGCCCAGATGTGCTGGGATCCGGCCCGGGGGTGCCCCACCCTGACCGCACCGGGGAACTGCTGGAGTAGTTACAGAAGCTCCCTCTGCCTGTGATTCTCTTCCACCGGTTTGGAGTGCGCCTGGGGACCGGCACGTTTGAGGAGCCCCTCAGGTGGTTCCACTGCACTGCCCTGACCTGGAGCCGTGTGCGTGGACTGGTCCTGATTCTGCAGGGCCGAGCGTGTCCCGAGAGCCTGCATTTCTAACAAGCTCCCAGGGGATACGGGAGCTGCTGGCCCAAGGAGGGATCCGGGACCAGAGCGGAGACGAACCCTCAGGCTGGTCCTGCTGCCCCTCCTCCGGCCGCAGCACTTGTCACTGACTGGCCAGGACCCTCTTTCCCTTGGAACCTGGACACGCTCTTGGCCACCCCCATGTTCTGACGGTCATCACTGGGTGCTGGAGCGGGTATCCCCGTCTGCCATCCATGGCGGAACTTGGCTCATCCCATCACGGCCCAGGGGTGCTGGGCCAGCCCCTCTCCCCAGGGCCATGGACACCGCCTGGGCCTGATGTGAATCTGCTCCTCCCACCCCTGCCTCGCCCTCCCCCACCCCCTCGCTGGGCCCCCCAGCAGACAGGGTGGGATCCGGAGACTTACTTCCATTCTGAGCACTCAGGGAGGCGGTCAGGAGGATGGTCCAGAGCATCTGGGGCACCGAGAGGGGGAATGTCAAGGTGAGCATGGCCAGCGGGACAGGAGGCCTCAGGGGTCCCGCGTCCTCTTCATTGGCTCTTGGGACCCTCTCTGGAGGAAGGAAAGCCGCAGGGTCAGAGGTCTCCCAGGCTGCAGCCTGGCCAGGGGCGGGCAGCAGTCCTGAGCTCCTCCCTGACCAGCGGTGCCCGGATGCCAGAGCCCCCGCCCCGCCTCTTCTCCTGCACCTTCTCTGTACCTTTAAAACGTGCACGGTGCTGGCCGCTGACGACAGACAAGAAGCACGGACAAGCCAGGAGGGAAGCCACTGGGAGAGAGACCTGCTGACAGCATCAGGATCGTAACAAAATGTGCAAAACTGGCCCGAATTGTGCTCCCGTGGACACGGGTCCTGCCCACTTGGGATCTGACACCATCCCCAGACCTCCCCGCCCTCGTACTTTCCTCGGCTGGGGGGCCCCTGCTGCCTTTTGGGACCCCCTCAGGGGACACGCTCTTGTCAACAAAAGGAGCCCTCTCCTGGGGGACTCACACAGCGGGCCTTCCGTCTCCTCCCACGCGAGCACCCACTGCGGGCTTCCGAGACCCTCTTGGCCTCCATTAAATGTGACATTTTTTCTGGGTATCTTATTTTATATATTCATTTTTAAGATTTTATTTTTAAATCAACTCTGCACCCAGTGTGGCGCTCGAACTCACAACCCCGAGACCAAGAGTCCCGCGTTCCGCCGACTGAGCCGGCCAGGCGCCCCTATTTAAAAGTATTTTAAAATTGCTTGCCAGACCATTGGTTGACCTTTTGATTGAAAAATAATAACAGACTTTTTGTTTTGTCTTTGAGCAGTTTTAGATTTACAGAAAAATTGGGCAGAAAGTGCAGAGTCGGCATGTGTGAGCACTGTCGTGGCTCACACATCACAATCTGTGGACACGCGGTCATTGCCTGAAGTCCCTACTTCTCATACTTCACGGCTCACTCGTGTGTCGAACGCAAGGGGAGTTTGGACAAATGCATAATGACTCGCATCCATCATTATGTCCCCCACAGAGCTGTCCCAAAACCCTGTGCTCCCCCTGCTCACCCCCTTCCCCCGACACCCGGCAACCCCTGGTCTTCCTGGTGTCTCCATAGTTCTGCCTTTTCCAGAATGTCATACGGTCGGGACCCTTTGGTTTTGAATTCAGCTGTTTGGGGAGAATGGGGCACCAGGGCCAGCAGCACAAGGAACTTTGGACTTAATGGCCTCCAGGCACTTGGGGCCACCGGTGACCAGGCCCAGTCCTGACCCCAGTAAGGGGAGTCGCGCCGGCAGGAATGACCCCAGCCCCACCAGGGCCACAGAGCACCCCCATTCTGTGCTGCTGTGTCGAGCTCCCCAAGATCCCTGGGGGCCTGAGCAGGCGGGCCTGTCCTCCCATCTTGACCCCATCAGCCAACCCAGGGGTTCCTGGTGGGTTTCCCGGTGGGGTCTTATGTGAAAACCCACTGATCTGGGGGCCTTGGAGCAGCGAGAGAAGGCCTACCTTGCTCCGCACAACCTCACCATGAAAGGAAAATGGCTAGATCCAGCTTTTGAAAGAAACATCTAATTTGGGATGGGAAGAGAGTTTCAAGAATGTTAAATGCAAACCACCTCCTGCGCTCCTGGCTTCCTGAATGGCACAGCCCCAGGGGCTCTGGGTGGGCGGCCACACTCGGGGGGTGGGGGGAGGGGACCCGGGCACAGGCTGGGTGCACAGGCCCAGGCCTGGCCCAAGCTGGCTTGTCCTCCCCAGAGACAGATAAGGAGGGATAGACTGACAGACAGCCAGGCTGATGGATGGAGGCTTTCCTTCTCTCTCAATCCACACAGGGCTCTGGGATCCTGGGGTGGGTTGCATACAGGGTGTGGTGTGCCCGCAGGTGTCCTGGTGCTCTGGGCTCCCAGGGGGCGAGGACCTGTGCTGAGCTGAGTGGCCCCTGTGTGCGTATGTGCCCTTCTCCCAAGGACACTGACCCTGAGTCCCTGCGACCAAGGGTTTTGGCCAATGTGCTGTATGTGCCTGGCATCTTAGGAATGTTCTAGTAACTGTGTTCCTAAATTTCACAAGTTAGAAGAAGCTGCTACACAACCCGCCAGGCAGCTGTCCATCCATGGATGGATATCCGTTGAATGTAACAGTGCCCAGAGCTGCTCACTGCGGTCCTCGGGTGCCTTTCTTACCCCTGGTGCAGGCCAGGCCAGCGATCGGGGCCCAGGAGGCTCATGCCAAGCTCTGACCTGGACCCTGACATGCACCCGGGGCACACCCCTTCCCAAGCCTCCGGGGAATCACTCCCTGGCTTTCCATTGCTTTTGCCCCTCTGTTCATTCCTAAAACCCAGAGAAGCTTGATTCAGCAGTTTCTTTTCTTTTCTTTTTTTTAAAAGATTTTATTTATGGGGCGCCTGGGTGGCTCAGCCATTAAGCGTCTGCCTTCGGCTCAGGTCGTGATCCCAGGGTCCCGGGATCGAGCCCCGCATCGGGCTCCCTGCTCCGCGGGAAGCCTGCTTCTCCCTCTCCCACTCCCCCTGCTTGTGTTCCCTCTCTAGCTGTCTCTCTGTCAGATAAATAAATAAAATCTTAAAAAAATAATAAAAAAATAAAAGATTTTATTTATTTGAGAAAGAGAGAGAGAGAGAGAGCGCATGAGCAGGGGGAGGGGCAGAGGGAGAAGGAGAGAGAGATAGAAGCAGACTCTGTGCTGAGCGTGGAGCCACATTCAGGGCTCGATCCCACGACCCCGAGGTCATGACCTGGGCCGAAACCAAGGGTCAGTCGCTAAACTGACTAAGCCCCCCAGGCGCCCCTGATTCAGTAGTGTCTGGTGGTGTAACAGGCTACAGGGGCTGTTTCTGGTAGATGGGCCTCCCTTTGCAACCTTGCCAGGCCCAGCCCCAGGACAATGGGGTGTAACTCACCCGGGAGCTGAGTCACACATGCCTCACCAGGCGTGGCCGCATTCCAGGAGGGCCTGGGGTGGGGGCTGGTGCTGCTGTCTCCGCACTTCCTTTGCTTGACTTTTCTTCCCCCTTTTATTTTTCTGAAGTAGGCTCTACGCCCAGTGTGGAGCCCAACATGGGGCTTGAACTCATGACCCTGAGTTTAAGACCTCAGCTGAGATCAAGGGTCAGATGCTCCACCGACTGAGCCCCTCAGGCACCCCTTTGCTTGATTTTTCTAAACTTGTTTGTAGTTCGAACGTAAGGCAAGAAGGACCGTTTTTCTTCTCAGTATACGTGCATCACACTTGGAAAAGCAACAGAGAGAAGCTGAAGAAGGAAGAACCGCCGGAAGGACGCCCTCCCCCGCAGAAGCTGCGGCCGCTCTGCGCCCGGCTCTCACGGGTCTCCCTGTGCCCAGACAGGAAGCCTGTTTGAGGAGACCCTTATCACAGACACCCCGCCCCAACCCTCCCTCCCTCTCCCTCCATACCGTGTGTATGGGGTGAATGGCGGCCCCCAGAAGACACGCCCGCCCACAGCCCGCAAACGGGACCTTGTTTGGAGAGAGGGTCTTTGCATCCCTAATTACTAGGACAAGATCGCATGGGAGTAGGGTGGGCTCTGACTCCAACATGACTAGTGTCCTTAGAGGAAGAGGGAAATCTGGACAGAGACAGAGACACACCGGGAGAACGCCGCCAGACCACGGGGACAGAGACTGGCCACCAGAAGCTGGAAGACACAAGGGTCCTCTCTTAGAGCCTTGGAGGGCGCGCGGCCCCGCCCACACCTTGATTTGGGGCTCCTGGTCTCCACCACTGTGAGAAAACAAACATCTGGGCGCCTGGGTGGCTCAGTCGGTTAAGCGTCTGCCTTCAGCTCAGGCCGTGATCCCAGGGTCCCGGGATCGAGCCCCGCGTCGGGCTCCCTGCTCCGCGGGAAGCCTGCTTCTCCCTCTCCCTCTGCCTGCCTCTCTGCCTACTTGTGCTCTCTCTCTCTCTATCTCTCTGTCAAATAAATAAGTAAAATCTTTTAAAAAAGTAAAAGAAAACAAACATCTGTTGTTTTGAACCCCCAGGTTGTGGTCCTTTGTCACGGCCGCCGAGGACGCGCACACGACCCCCTGCCCCTGAGCCTGCAGCACCCAGTGACCCAGTGACTCCAGCTTTCTCTGGACCCAGACAATCACGCGCAAGCCCCGGGCGTGGAGGGAGCCTTTAGGGTCGGGTTACCTTACTCCGCATCTGGGTCTCACCTTGCTGTGCCCTTTGGGGGAGGCCTAAAGCCCCACTCCCCGGGGCCCGCACCCTGGTGAGGGCCGCCCCCCAGCGCCGCCCTCCCCCCAGGCCTGTCTCTGTGGCCCTGACAGGGCCTGGTGCCTCGGGACGTCCATCTCACCCTGGCCCCCCGCCCTTTGGGTGTCCATGTTGCCGCGGCCTTTGCAAACTCCGCCTACTTTTCTCGGGTTGTCCGTCTTCCCCTTATGGGTTTGTGAGACTTAGGTTTTACAGAAACAAACTGTTATCCTCAAGGCAAACGTGCGCCTACTCCGTCATTTCTCCTTGGATCGTTTCTGGAATAACAAGACCCTACGTGTTTATGTCATCCTGTGTTGTCCTTGAAAGCTTCAAGGTTTCGTTTAAGTGTTATTTGTTTGTTGTTTGAGGTGCCCTTTTGCAGAAGCCTCCCAGTCCGTGGGGAATCCACGGACTGCCAAACTGGATTTCCACATTCGAATCATGAATCACCTCAAAGCCATTTTGCAAGGGTCGCGTGACAGGGTCCAACGCTGCTTTCTTCCAAGAAAGTGGGCTGTGCCCAAGGCATCCCGAGAGTGGCACACACCATCCCCTCCATTCCACCTCTCTGCCCGTGGGCGACTCGCCCAGGACGCTGCCAACCCCAAAGTTTCCAGTCGCTTTGTCAGCTGTGTTCACCCTGGGAAGGCAGGTTCTCTCCTCTGCTCTGTTTATCTTTCTTTACAGGTTTGTTTCTCCATGAGAATGTTTTAACATAACTGAAATCAATTTTCTTCTTAGAACCAGAATTTCCTGATGACTGGAGAGGGGCGGCTGCCCGGATCCCGCCCGAATGAATCTGCTCTGAATAACATGAAAGACGCAGAGAT